TAAGGCAAAGTTAGCACATTTATATTAAGACTTTTACCCAGAAAAGTAAAGTTGACCTTTATCTTGTTGTTCAAATAAAGTACCCACGCCTATGTCTTAGACCTTTACCTAGACCAATAGACAATGAAGAATGGCATAGGGGTTTTTTCAATGTTGTACCCACAGACTTAACAATTACACCACAAGAGACTGATGTACATACTAGCCTATGGGGTAAGTGTACCCAAACATTTCTGTGGGTGAGGAATGAAATTTGGGCATAAGAGGAAGGATTTCTGGCATTTGCCCTATAAAAGAGGACCCACCTCAATAGAGCTCTCTCCGTTCTCACTTACTCCATTCTCACTCCATCTCCATTCTCACTTTACTCTATTCTCATTTACTTCCTCCCCTCTATCTATTCTATCTACGATGATTGCTACTATCAGTAGGCTATATTTGTTCTTCTTAAACTTTAAGTTTCAAAGGAACTAGGCTAAGCTTGGTTTCCCTAAGTTTTATTCTGTTTATTAGGTTTTGATTTTGTTAGTCAAGTAAACCCTAAGTTCGCTTTAATAGCTCTTAGCATTAGTTTCTTCTAAGCACTCAAAAATTGAGAAACCTGAACTGCAAGGCTGTTCCTGTGTCTCTTACCACCAGGTTATCAAGGAAGGGTGTGAGTATATTAACCAAAGCTTTGTAGCATATAATACTATATTATCATATGTATCTTTTGAATATCAGTAATGCAATTGTAACTTTGTAACTCTGATTATTTTACCACTTACTTACTATTATTGATTTTAATAAAGTCTTTAAGGCTAGATCTGTCTCAGTGTGAGCTTCCTGGCATACCCCCGAGGGTCCTTTATAAATTCTGTGGCGCCTGATTCGGGACAAGAACTTTTATCTTCTGATCAAACTGATTGGTGAGCCTAAAACCCATACTATTAATATTATTAATTATTAAAATAAAATAAAAATTAAAGTAATAAATGAAATTAATACATTTCCCTTATTATCCAAATTAATATTATCAATACACCCTAAATCAGGCTACAGACTGGCGAGCCAGAGCCAGGAATCTCTCTGTGTGTGACAGGAATTTTCAGGGATTCCAGGCATCCTTAGACCCCTGAGAATCTCACCTGAGACATAAGTAGATGGTTAAAGTTACAGAGAGTTAAAGATTGTGTGTCTTATGGCTTGGCAGCAAGCCCAGTATTTCCGTTCTGTATTGTGGTTTAAAGTTTTAACTTATAAGTTTTGAATTTAATCTTGCAAGATAAAGTAATGATATTATTTAATGTGATATGCACATTTAAGGGGCTTTGTTGGAGGTTGAAGTTGTAACGAATGGTTCAATAAGATATAAGCAGTAGCATCAGGCCCAATGACCCACACTAAGTGGTGGTGATGGGGGGAGTTGATAAATATATGTATTAATTGTCGCCAAGAGGCCGCAGTAACTCAGAACTTGTATAGTTCTTCAGCCCCCACAACTGTCCCGGGCTGCACCTCTGATCCGTCTGCCTGAGTTCCCCAGCTGTTTGGCAGGTCCCGACAGAGGGAAAAGATCTCTCGATCAGCTACGAGCCATCGAGGGAAGAGATGGGAATGCACCCCTAACCCCCCTATCATTTACTTGGGACTTATTGAACTAGGCGGAAAACCGGTTTGGGGTATTTCCTGTTTCTGTGAAGGGACACCTTCAGTTACAGACTAAAGCAACAGAGTGTTCATTATAGTTTATTACATAAACTAGGGAAGTGTTAGAAATCAAATGAGTTCTATGTTATGTGTTAAGGTGAGTGGAGTAAAGGCAAGAGTAGAGTCTGTTGGAGTTGCCCGCAGTATGGCTTTAGAAAACTTTGCCAGAAAATATATTCAGGAACATGGAGGAGGTTTAGAACAGCTAAGGAATAGCGAGATGATATCTAAGCATTGTAACCCATGGGGTTTTGTAAATGATGTATTTGATGTAAAAACAAAGCCAAAAAAAGGAGAGGCTAAACCAGGGGTGGGCAAACTTTTTGGGCTGAGGGCCACATCTGGGTGGGGAAATTGTATGCGGGGCTGGGGTAGGGGGTTGGGGTGCAGGAGGGAGTGCAGGCTGTGGGAGGGGGTGTGGTGTGCAGGAAGGGGCTCAGGGCAAGGGATTGGGGCAGAGGAGGGGTGCCGGGTACATGAGGAGGCTCGGGGAAGGAGGTTGGGGTGCAGGAGGGGTGAAGACTGCAGGAGGGGGCTCAGGGCAGGGGGTTGGGGTGCAGGAGGGGTGCAAGGTGCAGGCAGGGGGCTTAGGGCAGGGAGTTGGGGGCATGGGGTACAGGAGGGGTTCAGGCTCTGGCCTGGCGCCGCTTACCTCAAGGGGCTCTGGGGTGGCAGCGGCACGCACCGGGGCCAGGGCAGGCTGCCTGCATGCAGGGCTGGCTCTAGGTTTTTTGCTGCCCCAAGCAAAAAAAAATTTTGGCTGCCCCAGCCCTGGGCTCTTCCCCCTCCCCCCCGCACCTCCTGCTAACCCAGCTCTGGTCTCCCCTCTTCCCCCCCACACCAGTGCCCTCCCCCCAACCTGCACCTTCCTGCCACCCCAGCCCTGGGTCACTGGTAACTCACTCCCAGGGCAGGTCATTCAGCAGGAATTTTGGATGTGCACAGAACACAGACAGGATTGGTTCCCCTATGGTTACAGAACTGCAGTAAAGTGGAACAATTTTCAGCTTGTGTGATTGGAGGATATCTGGATGCATATTATAAGACTGTCCTACATAAATGAGGAAAAGTTGAGGTGCCTTTATTGTTCTTTTGTTCCACTCTCTGTTTCTATGGGAATTTGCCAATGCAATATCACTGTCTTCCTTTTAAACAAATAAAACTAAAAAAAATAAAAATGGCAATTGCTGTTGAAAATAGCAATTCAGTCCTAATAACCACTGGGAAGCATTTCTTGCTCAATTTTATCCTACTTTTTCTACAGCAAGTTACAGTGGATCAGTATATTTGATTTGGGAGAAAGGAAGTAACAGCTGCCCAAACTCAGCTTGAGCACTCCTGAATTTTGAGGTGTTCAAATCTGGAAGGCAGGTGCTAGATTCTCTTTCTGAATATTAGCTAAATCTGGAAAGGAAAAGTCAATTTCTGCTTATATGGCTCAGAAGTGGAAATCCTCCTACATGCCTGATACTGTATCTAAAGAAGCTGTCCAGGTCCTCTAGCAGAGCCTCCCCTCCCTTACTTTTCATTTTAAATTCTAGTGGGATCCACGTACTTCCCTTGTTAGGCTTCAGATAGAGAGGTGCACTGTCCATTTAGTCCACCCAATTCCTTCTCACCTTGCAGCCCCCAAAGGTCACACCAGTATCCCTAATCAAGTCTGGGGAAGTCTTCTGAAGGGGATATCTGGGGCATACTTGTCCCCCATTCACAGGGCCACCCCTTCTAGCAGGCAGTTCTCTATTCACAGCAAACTGCAGCATGAGGTCTCAGCTACCTCACTCCCTCCCCCGCCCCTCCCTTTCCTGTTGATAACTGCCAAGGGATTGCTGGGAAATGTAGTTCTTTCCCTGCTTCAGGGCTGGCTCTATAGGCAGGGAGCTAACTAAGAAACTACAGCTCCCAGGGTCCCATGGGTTCTCAGCTCCCATGCTGGATCTCTGCTGCTCGGTGGCTCTGCTTCTGCAGCCTTGCGAGAGGGGAGGAAGTGAGTGTTATGGAGCACTATGGCCAGCTCTCAAGCGCAAAAAAAAAAAAAAAAAAAGGATGGCCCGAATGCTGCCCCTGCAAATGTGCCGCCCCAAGCACCTGCTTGCTTTGCTGGTGCCTAGAGCCAGCCCTGCCTGCATGCCTGCCCTGGCCCTGGTGCGCGGCACTCCAGGAAGTGGCTGGAACCATGTCCCTGCACAGCCCCTGGGAGAGGTGGGGGTGCACAGGGCTCTGCACTCTGCCCTTGCCACAACTCCAGGTACCTCCCCTGAAGCTCCCATTGGCCGCGGTTCCCCATTCCCGGCCAATGGGAGCTGCGGGGAGTGGTGCCTGGAGGCAAGGGCAAACACATGGAGCCCTCTGCGCCCCCCCCCCGCCCCGCCCCGCCCTGCCCTGCCCTGCCCTGCCCTGCCCAGCCCAGCCCAGCCCAGGGGCCGCAGGGACGTGGTGCCGGTGGCGCCCTGGGCTGGATCCAAAGCCCTGAGGGGCCGGATCTGGCCCGCAGGCCGTAGTTTACCCACCCCTGGGCTAAACTGATGAAGAAAATAGCTGTTAAATATCTGCTCATAGCTTGTAGTTCGCTGGGAAAGAAATTGAATAAAAAATTAGAGTTACTCAGGAAAGCCCAGCAAACTTTGGATGCCAGCTTAAAATCGCTGGATGGCTATAAATCAGACCATGGTCGGCTGTTAAAAGGAATTAGAGTTGAAAAAGATGTGTTAGAGGAGGATAAAGAATCGGTTCCCATCCCTATTGGCATGGTGGAACCAACGGAGACAGAAAAATCTGCAGGGCCAATTACTAGAAGTAGGGCAAGAGAATTAGCTCAGGCTGATACAGTACCTTTAGGAGCAGAGTTGGAGATTGAGTCTGAAGAGTCATGAGGAGAGTCAGAAGAGGAAGTTGGCAGTGCAGAAGCTACCAGCAGCCTGCAGGTAGGAAAGGAAGTCTCAGGGTGTCACCACAGAAGGCGGAGTTGAGTGTCATCATAGAGGAAGTGACTAGTGATGTAAAGGATAAGGTGAGCAGAGCAAAGGGGGAGGAAATATCCTCTCCTCTGTTAGTGTCCGCCCTGATAGTAAAAACGGAGTGCCTTTAGAAAATGTAATTGTTCAGGGACTAAAAGATGCAGTGTCACAAGTGACACAAGTAGCTAGTGCATGTGATGTAGTAATCTCTAGGTTACGACAGAGAGATACAACAACCAAGGGATGCATTGGCACCATATAGATCAGGAGATCCAAGCCCCTTTGGGTGGACATTTATTGGCATTTGGGCAGGGCCGGATTAACTTTGTGGGCCCGGCGCCAAACATATTGGTGGGCCCCCATGTGGTTGTGATCAGGGCCGGCTCTGGCTTTTTTTGCCGCCCCAGGCAAAAAAAGCCTCCGGCTG